CTGGTTTGATAGAGCCTAGTGGAACTCCTGAGACTATGGCACATAGCTGCCCTTCAGGTCTGGAATTGAACCCATTTCTGTGGCTTGCAGCCAAACAAAAGACAGGCATATGAGGTGAACATTTACTTTAGGTAGATACACTTGTTGGAGAAATCAATCATGAGAGAACAGAAGGACTGTGTATGCACAGGGGGACAACTTGAAATAATTTACAAGCTCTATGGGCACAACACCATCACAGATTTCCAGCACTTTGAGTTTCTAATAAATAAGTTGTGTCCCCACAAATGGCTAGCCATTTAAAAATAGCACTAGAAGTTATATCATCACAATATTGGTATCAGGATTAGATATTTGCATTTTTAAACTTTAAAATGGTCTCTCTATATGTATTTCTTTCTTTAATAGATAAACATAGTTTTTTTTTTTCTTTAAAAGATAAACAAAAATGTACGTGCTTCAAAATACTCACTCTCTCTGGTTGGCTGTTGGGGGTTTGCTGTGGTGGATATACCAGTCTGGCATTGAATATGCCACTGGGGAGCCCTTCTGGGTTCCGGGGCCAAAGTGCTTCAGCAGATCTCAAAGGGAAAAAAGATGGAACATTGAGTGGTTTCCTGCAGCCCACACATAGGACACACAGTCATAGAGCTGTGGTTTACAAAGGGATTATAGCTGAGCCTTCAAGGGCCTCCAGGGCCAGCCTGGAGTGTACTGTAACTACTAATAAATGTGCAACTGGGGTAATGTTTCTACCACCAGTTGGAACAGAAGAAAGGTTCACTTCACCTTTGACTTGTTGAGAAAAATTGTGGTCTAAGGCATAAATCCCAGGATGTCAGAAGAGAATCTCAAGTCAAGTCTGGGCAGGACCTGCAGCAGAGAGGCTTGAATTCTCAGTGGTCCTGGAGCTTCCTAGGGCAAATCTGGTGTAGGGCATAAGCCAACTGTTGCAGCCTCATGCTCTTTTGGCTGTGTCTTGTGAATTTTTCAAAGCACTCTATAGAATGGCATATTAAGCACATCAAATCATAATTGGCCTAAAAGAATGTAAGACAAACTACATCTAAATAATGTGTTGCTTTTAGTAGAGGTACATTTATTTTGGAATTTACCATGTAATAGTCTGTCCTGTCCTGTATACATTTTATTTATGTTTCTTATTTTTATGTGATATTTTTGGCCTGAAATTAAAATATAAATAGAGTTTTGAGAATTTGGAAAATAAATATCATTTCTTAACAAAAAAATGTATTTTTATTTTGTTCATAAATTTTATTTTATGAACAAATGTAGACTCAGCATTAATCCTCAAAACCCACCAATCCTGGCTATAGGGAGGAAGTGGGAGGAGAGCTGTTGCATTGTGGGAGATTACAGTCAATGTCATGAGACAAACTGTATGGAAAATGAAATTGCTCTGTAAACTTTCACCCAATTTTTTTAAAAAAAGAGCACAGGGGGTTGAGACTGCTTGGGTGAAAATTCTATCTTTGTCATTAAATGACCCTTGGAAAAGCTTCTTAGCTTAATAAAAACAAATAAAAAAACACACCAAAAAAAAAAAAAAAAACACTGGTAAATGGGAAGGAGGCCACATATTCTGACCTCCTAGAACCCCACAAGAGGAAGGCAGAATAACCATCAATAGCCCAAGGCCTATTACTGCAATGTGAGACATGCTGCCTCCCTCCAGCTCTTTCACCAACCGTTCCTCCAAAAGCACCCACCACCTTTCTCCTGGGTTCGATAATTCACTGCAGTGGCCACACAGAACTCACAGATTACGGGGTTTATTAGGGAAGTACCAGGCTACAATTTAAGTTCAGGAAGAACGCTCGGTCTCTCTCCCAGCCCACAGTCTCTCAGTTAAGTCTCTCACAGTCTCTCCCTCAGCAATGCGTGTCCCTCGGTGTCTCACTCAGCAATGAGTGTCTCTTGCGTCTCTTTCCCAGCAGCACGTGTCTCAGGAGTACATGTCTCTTTCAGGAGCGCATCTTCCTCAACCAGCAGTCAGAGAAAGTTCTGCCTCTAGGAGGCCTCCTTTTGAGCTTGGCAGAGTGGCCAAACCAACCAATCATAACAACAGAATTCTAAGCACCTGAGTGTGAGCCTCCCATAACATTGTGTTGTGCCATGCCCAACAGAAATAACCCAGGTGGATAACATTTACAATCAGGAGCTCCTCAGTTGCTCATTCCACCACTGAGTTTACGATAACTTATGGGTAGAAAAGCCATACTAAGTAATTTAATACACTGCAAATATCAATCCAAATACCTAACATCAACAAGAAAAAAAAATGGGGTCTATTTTAAAGAAAGAGGGTGAGGTATCTGCACTAGATATTTCAACTAAAGCATACAGATAATTTCTCAATTACCTATACAAATATTAAGTTTCCATATTTATAATCACTTCAGATTAAATTACTATGGCAAAATTTTCCTTGTTGGCATTTTTACCCAGGGTTAGTAGCATTTAAATCTTAACTAGAATAGTAGGACAATCTATTTTAAATGAAAATATTCTACTCCATGGAAGAAAGATTAGGCAGTCTGCTTCCATAAAGATTTATATTGTCCAAGAAAATCACCCCGAATTAGGATAGAGTTTAAGACATGGGTACTAAATTGTTGTGGTGCAGTGAATTACTTTACATGGCTTTTCTAGCCACAGTCTTTCTAACTCCCACCAGATTACTGGGTGGGATCATGTAAATGAGGTATGTAGAACTCTAATGTTGGGACTGGTTAGTTTTGTCACTTTTCCAGGCTTAACATTAGTCTTCCTAGAGGCAGAGGGGGAATTTCACTGCCATCAAGAGAGAGGTGGAGGTGAAGTGAAGCATGTCCTTGGACCCAAGATCCCTGTGCTGGACCTCCGTGGCTGACAGATGCCAGGCTGAGAAAGAGAGACACCAGGCTGAATGAGAGATACCTGGCTGTGAAAAAGATACCTCAGTGAGAGACAGGTGCCTGAGTGAGAGACAGTGGCAGTGGAGCCAAGAGTCAGGAGACAGTGAAGTGGGCTTTCTGGCCCATGGAGCAAGAAAGCAGGAGGCTTGCTGGTAGAGTGGGGTACACATATCAGCAGAGCTTTGAGAGCTTTGTAACACTTGTGCAAGCAGGGCAGAGGCCAAGGGCCAGAGATATGTGCCTGAGGGCATAGCAGAGGAGAGACTGTCCTAATTGAAGGATTGTATTGTGAGTGTATTCCTGAATGTAAATTGTAGCCTGTTACTTCCTTAATAAACTCCATAATTATGAATCTCATCTGTTAGCTCTATGTGGCCATTGCAATGAATTACTAAACCCAGCAGACAAGTAGAGAATGCCATGGGAGGGACGGTTGGTGTCAGAAATGGTCAAAAGCTTTGGAGGGTGGTGGCATGTTTGGACTCACAGGAATAAGCCTTGGACTGCTGTTGGTGATTCTGCCTCCTTGTGAAGTTAGAGGAGGTGAGAGCATGCTGCCTCCAAGTCCTTTTTGCAATTGTGCATTTTAATTGCATAAAAATTCCAGAAAGGCCAACAGAAAGAAGCAATTTTTTCTTCTGTGTTTCCCTAAGGCTTAAATATTTATAGTTGTAATAAACTTAATACATAATTTTCTAAAATGTTTTCCTAGATATATGACGTTATACCCCCAAATCCACAGTCACTGAGTTGATTCTGACTCATAGAGACCCCACTGGATTTCCAAGGCCATAAATTTTTACAGAAGTAGATTCTCATCTTTCTCCCACAGCACAGCTGGAGGAATTGAACTACTGGCCTTCTGGTTAGCAACCAAATGTCTTACCCACTACATAACCAGAGGTCCTTACATTAGGTTATGAAAGATGTCAACTGATTACAAAGGCAAAAATGTGGGAATAAAAACTAGGAAGAGTAGTTTAGTAAAGTAAGCATGTGGAAATGCTTTCATATTAAATAAATTAATAAAATTAATACAATGGCAATATGTATTAACAGCCATAAAGACATGGTCTCCCAATCTATAAAATAATTTCAAAAGCATTTGTGATATTTAAGGTTGTGTGTCAACTTGGCTGGGCCATGATTCCAAGTAGTTTAGCAGTTATGATGTAGTCATCCCCCATGATAAGATCTGATATTATGTAATCACCTCCATAATGAGATCTGCTATGAGCACTCAATCAGTTGAAAGAGAGTTTCCTTCAGGGTGTGGCATGCTTCCAATATGTATGGAAAAGCTCTGGCAAAGCTTTCAGGCTTTCTGCATGAGATCCTGCATCTGGCTTATCATCGTCTGGACTTGAATCAGTGGCCTGCTGTATTGCCTGCTGTTCTGGTTACCTAGCGCCACTCTGAGAATATGCCACAAATGGGATGGCCTTAACAAACATGAGTTTATTCTCTTACAGTTTGGAGGCTTTAAGTACAAGTTCAAAGTGCCAGGCTCTAGGGGCTAGGTGAAAGCCCCTCAGCCTGGGGCTATAGCTCTGCCTCCAGCTCCTGACCCACTGAAGCTAGAGGCTTTTCTTCACTCAGACAGCTGCTGGCTGCTGAGGCTGCCAAGCCCAAGGTTGACAAGTAAAATGGCACAGTCACGATGTTACCAAACCACATGGCAGGCCATTAATTTAAGTCCATTGTAAGTCCCAAGGTCGGCAGAGCATGGCAGGCTGCTGAACAATGACACAGCTACATGCAAGGTCTCTAAGCATGCCACAAGCTAGAGACCAATCCCCAAGGCTTCTGCTTATATACAGGAAGCAGACCACATTCCCTAAGGCAGCTAGCTACTCACCTGCTCACAACAGATTCCACCACGGAGCTGATTACCAGTCTCATCATGGGGAATACTGTGTCCAGCTGCCCAGCCACTCAACGAGGTCCTGCCAAGTTGACACACAACTAAACTACCACACCTGCCAATCTTGGGATTTTCGCCTTTGCACCCTGTGAACCAACAGTCTGCCATTTTACTTGCTGATCTTGCCTTCATCAGCCTCTGAAGGCAGCAGCCTGCTGAATTGCCTGTTGATCTTAGGTTCATCAGCCCCTGTAGTTATGTGAGTCAGGAGAAGCCTCCAGCTTGACATCTAACCTACAGACTTGGGTAATGCCAACCTCTGCAACTTTGCAAGTCATTTCCTTGAGATAAGTTTCTGTCTGACTCTCTCTATATACATGCTTCACTGGTTTTGCTTCTCTAGAGAACACAGCATAAGGCTGAACATTTCACTCCATTGTGACACTGGACCCAGTAAATCTGGACTGACACCAACATTACACAGGGAGTCAGGACAAAGACCAATGGATTGCAGAGCAAGGGACAGAGCCTGAGCTAGATCATACTTCTAAGATAGTCTCTTGGGTAATGATCTCACACCTTGGAAGAATACAGTAGATCCAAACCAGCCTTATCCACAGCAGTCACAGATGTCCCCAACTCATCCAGGACCCTCGAAAGTTGAAAATGTCTGTAAAATAAACACTCAGAACCAACCTAGCACTTGTTTTTTGCAGTCAAACTTTAGCAATAAAAGAGCAAGTGATAAGGACCCTATATTTGGGCCCAGGTTAGGTTAACAACTGTAGCTTTTATGGTTCGGAGGGGCCCCAGTTTTTCTATGTTTTATAGATGTTTAAGGATGGGCAATGTGTATCTGAATTTAAGCAAAACAATGTATTTTGCTTAATGAAAATCTGACATATTAAAAACATCAAAATATATTAAAAACAAGGACTAATTATAGCTTTAAAAACATGCAGATTTTTTGTTACTGATTACATTTTGTTTACATATAGCTTTTTATGGAACACATCAAATGCATAAAAATATAACTTTAGTTGACTAATCTCAAATGTCCAAGAAGAATATAACTAATATCTATCTTAATCCTCTTTCCTGCCTAATGGCAGAAAACTCCAGAAGTCAGTCATTTCCAGATTGTTCTCAGTTGATCCAGGGTATGCTCAGTCTGCCCAGGTATCTTCCCCTTAGCCTTCTTGTCTAGGGTTATGTCTGAGTTTTGTGCTAATAGAACAACAGGGCCAGTGGAGGCAGTTTTTGTCTATAGCTGCTTCCCCACTGGCACCTGTTGAGATGTTCAGGCTCTGCTAGGTGCGTGGGCAGGAACACCCCTCCCCTACCCCACTGGAACCTACATATGCCATATCCATCAATTCCCAGAGTGGGGCTCATTCCTCTATGCTGACATCTGCAAAACTCCTCAGATCATCAGGGGGCTGGACTTGCATTTCTCTCCCTTTTTCTGAGGTACTCCTATGTCATTCTTGTAAGCATAGGACAATCTGATTCTTTTGCCACCCCCCATAGACATTTCTGGGAAAAGCTGCACATGGCTGTCCCCTCTAGGTTTTCATTTTGGTAGTGGGGCACAGGATCTGGGGGGAGAGATTTATGGAGGGGTTATTTATCAGTGCCACCCTGCCCTTTGAAGTCACCACTTAGAGGAACAGAGTATAAGACTCCTTCTCAGAGACTTATATCAGCTCCCAATTTACTAGCTTACTCTCTAAATTACATACAAATCCCTCCCCTGGCCCCAAAAGTATTTTCATTGTTAGGGTGGAGGTGTCAGCATCAGCAAGCAGGGAGGTAGGAATAACTGGTTTTGCCTCATAATAATAACAGCAAAATGATGACAACAATTAGCAGCAGCAGCTAACAAACACTGAATTCTTACTCTGTATCAGGCACCATTCTTTGTTTCTTTTTATTAATTATCCCAGACTTACAGAAAAATGTCAGGGAAAATACAAGTTCCCCTATACTCTTCACTCAGATGCCCCAGGGAGTTAACATTTCATCATATTTGCCTTATCTTCCTCTCTCACATATTATTAATATCACTGTCATTATTGTTTCCAGAAACTTCTGGGCACACACTGCAGACATGATGCCCCTTCAACCGTACATACACCAGTGGGTATTTTCTAGGGACATTCTTTCACATAATCACAGCACAATTATCAAAATTAGCAAACTAATGCTGACATAATACTTCCACCCAATTTATAATCTTTCCACTAATGTTCTTTTAGCCAATGGTTGTGGTAGGGTGAATTTAAGAAAAAAATTTCTAGGTCCCATTCTCTGCACTTTATATGGAGTAAATGAAATTGTTTGATCTTGATCTTTTAATGCCATTTTATTTCCCATTTTCCCATAATAAGCTCCTCAGAGGTAATGGTAACCAGGGGGGAAAAACAGGTTAATATTTGTCAATGTCATTTTCCACAAGGCTAGCTCTAAGTCATTTTACATGTGGTCCCATAACCCTTTCTTCAGTGACTTCCATTAAACACAATATGCCTTAGCACAATCCACCAGGACTTTCTCAATTAAAGCATATATAAAATTTTGATCTCCATTAACATCATCAGTGAAATATTATACAGTAACTCTTCTATGATCTTCATTATTAAATATGCTGAAAAGGCCAGGGCAGCAAGAATGACAATAAACAATAGGAAAAGAAAACATTTCCCAAATTATTCAGGAAGTAGTTACAACAATGAAGGATATTAAAGTCCAAAGATAGACCCTTTGTAAAAAGAGACTATTTCCTGAGTTTCCTTTCCTAATTAGAAAATAAAATAGGTGTCAATCATTAAAAGGTATTACTCAAGGAAGAAAAAAAAATCCTACAAGCCTAATTCCTTGAATTCGAAGTGTATTTGATTTCTCATAAATATTAGCAAATCACTGAAGATTATAAAGACCTCAAACTGTAGCAAGATTAACCTAAATTTCTAAAGGCCTCAGGCAAAATTTAGATTTTATACTAACAACATTTTTATAGGAGAAACTAAATTATTAAGGGAACTAGCCTATCATTCCTCTTCACAGGGCTAATTTTCAAATGAAAATTAAGTGAAGCAGATCAATGTACTTACCAGGTCTGCCACCTTGTTTTGCGAGCTTGATGTATTCTGAGTCTGTTTCTTTGATCCAGTATCTACGAGTCCCAAATGCATTCCCATTTTGTGTGCCCCCAAGATCACTAAGCCCTGGGATCTGAGATGCTGGTGGGACATCCACAGCCTTCTCTGACCGCTTCACTGGAAGATGGTAATACCAATCTAGAAAAGTGCAAAGCCAAAGGTAATACTGCCATGTATGCATTAATTTCACAGTTTGATTTATTCTATAGCCAAAATGTATCTATGTTGGTGGGAATGTCTGCTACTCTTTATAACTGTCTTTATGCAGACAACACAATCAGGGCCAATGTATGTCATAATGTACATTATAAGGGAAGACATTTTTCTCTTTTGAATACACTGTTGTTGTTGTTGTTGTTATGTGCCGTAGAGTCAGCCCTGACTCATAGCGACCCCTCCTTGGGTTTCCGAGGCAGTATCACTACGGAAGTAGGAATGCCCAACCTTCCTTCCGAGGAGTGGCTGGTGGGTTTGAACCGCCAGCCTTCTGGTTAGCAGTCAAGTGCCTTAGCCACTATGCTACCAGAGCTCCTTGAATACACTGTAGTGAGTGGCAATACAGCCATTCATTTAATTAAAAGTCTCTAACACCTTCTAGAATGTGAAGTGCTAATCCCAAAAGAAAAAAAAAATCACCTTTCATGGGCCCTTCCTGCACTTCTCTATGCACATGTCCATCTTTCATTCTGAAGTGGTGAAATTTGAGCCTCTTTGATGGTGTTTTAATTTTTTCATTAAGTTTCCAAACCTCTTTGCATGTATGTCTATGAGTGTTTATCTTTCTCCCTCTCTTTTTAGTCCTCCATAAAATCGGAACTTAACTGCATTGCTGGTTATTTAGGGGAATATACATTCCTGAAGAAATCCCTGGACGGTGCAGTTAACTGTTCGGCTGCTAACCAAAAGGTTGCAGGATCCAGTGCCTTGGAAGAAAGGCCTGGCAATCTACTCCAAAAATATTAGGGATTTGAAAACCCTGTGGAGCACAGTTCTACTTTGATACACATGAGGTCTTCATGAGTCATAACTGACTTGACAGCAGCTAGAGATAGTGCCAGTACATTGCTAAAAAAAATCCCAAATAACTTTAAAATCTTTATGAGTAAATCTATGGAATACTTGGCCAAAGTCTGATAAACTTTGTTGCTATTGTTAGTTACTACTGAGTTGGCTCCAACTCATAGTGCTCATACATACAACAGAATGAAACATTAACCAGTCCTGTGCCAACCTCACAGTCATTGGTATGTATGTCTGAGTCCATCGTTGCATATATTGTATCAATCCGTGTCATTGAGGGTCACTTCATTTTCTCTGACCCTCTGCTTTACGAAACATGATATCCTTCTCTAGCAATAGGTCTTTCCTGATAATGTATCTGACATAAGCAAGATGAAGTCTTGCCATCTTTGCTACTTGATAAACCTAGTACATTAAAAATATTGAAATAAAAATTTGCGCCAGAAATAATAGCTATATTGACCACTTTTACGAACTTTGTAGGAGCGCAAACAGATAGGGCTATGACAATGTCAAAGAAATTTCATCTACCAAGCAATTAATTATATTTGAAGCCCACCTGTCTCTCCCTCAACTGACTACCTCAGAGTCCGGCAAAAAGTTAAACTCTTTTATCAGAGACAGGATTCCTCTCTCCAAACAAGTCCCCACACATTTATTTGCTCATAATGTGAAAGTAGGACATGAGAAGTGAGAAGTGAAAACATACCAAATTTGCAGGTAGAAAAAAGAAAAAAGAAAGCAGGGCTTCAAACTGGTCAGTCATGGCTCACATGGTGAAATTGAGACATGAATTTATAAAATGTAGGTATACTGCAACAATAACCAGAATGGGAAAAATCACAGGTCAGAATCCTAGAATGGGAGACTCAGAAAAGGCATAGTGAGACCTTCCATGAGCCTGATGTAGACTGGATTATTGTCAGGACTGTGGAGCATGAAGTACATTCAAAGCGGCATGGTCAGCCGCCATCTTTGAGAAGGGCACTGTTCTTTCTGACTCTGTCAATCAAGCGACTTGGTTGTATGCAATAAGCACACTGTCCTCATTTTCTAAAGGGGAGATTAAGTTTCTAGTAGGGTGTCAAACTGTGATTTATCTCATTCTAGTTATCATTCTTGTACACAAATATTTACAAATTTGAGTCTGTTTCCGTTTCACTTTGTTAGCCATGACTGAATCAAGAAGAATTGGTTCAAAGCCCTGCTGAAATGAGACAGAGAAGGGGAGGGCAAACTAGCTTTGCCATAGTAGCCGTATGTTATGGGAAACCATCTCAGGCCATAAATTTGTAGGTGACTGAGTCTGGCTTCCTTGGAAAAAGAACAGTTGCTTCAACAACCCTCAAGCAGTATCCTAGTAAACTGAAACACTAGGAAGGGGTCCCATGAAGAGGAAGTTTGGTACAGTAGTGTGAGAGAAGGATGGGGGAGAGGAAAATAAGGAGCACCTATTCTCTATGTTTCATCTCAACACTACCATGAGGCCAGTGCAGAGAAGGCATGTGGGCAGGGAAGCTAACACGGACATGTCAAGGTGATGGCATTTCCTAACTGGCCTTGTCTACTCTAGGCATCCAGGACAGATCCGGGCCAGCTAAGGTGAGACTTCCAATCAGACTCCCTGGAGACTTTTACAGGAGCTACTGTCAGGAGTTACAGGTATTAGCAAAACCCCCAGGATTTTGAGTTGTTAGGGTTTACTTATGCCCCCCCCCCAAGAGATATTCAACATATAGATGTCTTAGCTAATTCTGCATCAGAAATTTAATAACCAGGTATCCAAGTATAGGAGGAAAAAATTTTCAGCTGATTAAAAACAAAATCCAGGAAAAATGTGAAATACAAAAAATGCAATTAATGTGGCACAAGGGACTCAGTATATTTAATAACACTTATTAAAATTTACTGCCACAAATTCATGAAGTTCAGAATTCATAGTAGATGCCCAGGAAAACAGTGTTGAATAATTAATTCAGGTAAGCACACAATAAGAATGTTCCTTAGAAGGAGGATTGTGCAATTTCTCATATGCTTTGGACATCTTATCATGAAAGATCAGTCTCTGGAGAAGGACATCATGCTTAGTAAGGTAGAAGGTCAGAGAATAAGAGGAAGACCTTCAACCAGATGGATTGTCACAGTGGGTGTAACAATGGGCTCAAACATACCAATAACAGTGAGGTTTGCACAGGACCAGGCAGGACTTAGTTCTGTTGTATACAGGGTTGCTGTGAGTTGGAAACAACTCGATGGCACCTAACAAGTACACGGTTATTCCATATATAAGAAGTAATCATCCTCTAAGCAAAAAGCTTAGATACCCAATCGCTACTTGAAAGTATAGCTGTGTTCACCGTATAAAAAGGAATTGAATTTAGCATGTCAAATCTCTAAACATCTAACATACAGTAAGTAACTGAATATACATTAAGCAATTTCAGAAAGAAATTTAAAATACTGTGAAAAGTTTAAAGAATTGCACAGAAGATCACAGGGAATCCACTAATTAAGAGTAGGAGTTTAGCAGCTGCATTTTCTAATCATACTCAACTATTTTCTCTTATAGAGCAAAGGCATTAGATTCTTGCTTTATTTTTCCTCTCCCTGTTTTGATCATTAATTAATCCACAGAGAACAGTGTATCTCCTACCTTCTCATTACTGGAAGATTCAGGCATGTACTGAACTCTAACCTGGCTGGCCATTTTATTAAAGTGCATGCCAAATGAGCTCAGAGAACAAGAGCTAGAATCTAGAATCAAATCTCACCATCTAAAAACACACATACACTCACAGAGGGTTAAAGGGATAAAGAATCACCTTTTAGCTTTTATCACTCAAAAATTTTAAGTCCTAGTATGACACTAGATGATTAACAATCATACGGATTTTCTTTATTCGCCTGTCTCTGCGTTCTCATATAAATAATACCTTAATTTTATTAATGAGGAAACAGAAACTGTGAGATCAACTTAGGATACCCCAGCAGGAATATGCACCCAGCTCCTCTGGGCCAGAGTGCAGTGTTTAATAAACCATGGTGATAGGCACACCCTCCTTAGGCAGTTTTAGCCTCAAATAACTGAGGTTAGAGCATGGGCTGTAGAGCCACACTGCCATTTGCTAGGGTTATGAAAAAATTTAAAACCCTACCTGTTTCAGTTCTATGCTGGATAGAATGGGAGAACAATGTGAAACAAAACTAAAAATCATTTAAAAAAGGGGGGGGGAGGGGTGCCCAGGTTTGCTGGTCTGATAGAGCCTGATGGAACCACTGAGACTATGGCACCTGGATGCCCTTCAGGTCTGGAATTGAACCCACTTCTGTGGCTTCCAGACAAACAAAAAACAGGCATATGAGCTGAACATTTATATTAAGTTGATACACTCCTTGGCGAGATCAGTCATGGGAGAATAGAAGGGCTGTGTATTCACAAGGAGACAGCTCAGAAGGCAGGAATGTATGGAAGGGGAAGACACAGGGAAGTGGTAATTATGGAGAGGAAGTGGGAGGGAAGCTGTTGCATTGTGGGAGATTGTGGTCAATGTCATGAGACAAAGTATACGTGAACTGCTGTAGGGAAAATGAATTTGCTCTGTAAACTTTCACCCAAATCACAATTTAAAAAAAAACAACAACAACTATGTGTCTCAGTTTCCTCATCTCTAAAATAGGGTGACAATATCTCATAGGGTAGTTATGAAGTTAAATGAGCTAGTATATATAAAGTTCTTCAGTGGGTTAGTATGCATCAGTGTCATTCTTCTAAATGAGGCTATTAACCAAGGAAGGGAAGTCACAAAAAAGCTTCAGAGTGCACTGTGAGAGAAAGGGAACAGGCCGGGGCTCTTCATTGCTGTTTGTCCATTCCTTCCAGTGCCTAGCATGGCCAAAGGTCATCAATAATGGTTCACAATCAGCTCTGAAATAAAAGTGCTTCTCCTAGCTGAGCTCCATAACCCTCTTCTCTACCCTCTCTCTCCTAGTCTTCACCAGCTGGAGGACCTCTGGTGGTGCAGTGGTTAAAGCATCTGGCTACTAACCAAAAGGTGGGCAGATTGGACCCACCAACAGCTCAGTAGGAGAAAGAGAAGGCAATCTGCTTCTGTAAAGATTTATAACCCTGGAAACTCTTTCCCATTGGCTTGCTCTGAGGCTGAGTCAACTGGATGGCAGTGGGTTTCACCAGCTGGAGAGGAACAAAAACAGACAACAGTATCCCAAGTCTTGTTCCTTTCCTTCTCCTTAGCTTTACCGCTGGTAAATAAGTAGCCAACTACTGCATGAATTCTAGGAAGGAGAACTCTCTACTGAAATCTTAACTATTCTGCCATTTAAAACAGGAAATAGATTTCACTTGTGTGGGGTCTAAATTGGGAGCAAGAGATAAGCAATGAAATAGGTCAGGATACAGCTGAAAAAGTTCTGAAATCTGTATGTGGGGGAGAAGCTGTGAGAATTATAGAGTTATTATTTAAAAACTCCAAAGAAACCCTATTATTCCAAAACTGAGGCAACACTAGGTAGTACTGGTTTTCTCTTGTTGAAAATAAAGAAAAATAAGACTGATTTTTTTTTCTTTTTTAAGTGCTTCCGTTATGTATTGCTTTAACATTCAGACACAGGTGTAGCATTTCAGGTTGCCTTGAGAGTTATTACTATTTTTTAAAATGTTATCTCTTGAGCTCCCCCCTCATCACACAGAACACTGGATCCCTAATCAGTTCAGCAACTACAGTAAATGAACTCAGCTTCTTTAGTGATCCAGCCTGAGCTCCCAGGAAAGGCACTCACCGCAGGGCGCATAACGGTTCATTGCCCCGTGCAGCTCCTTGCTCGTGTTTCTCATGCCTGGGGTCTTCAAGCGCTGTTCAGAGAGAAAGCACATTTAGCCGCTGATCACTTACTAAACCCCTCCTGGTTTGTTTTGTTTTGGTTTAGTTTGGTTAACTGAGTATCTAACTACAGGTACTGGCCCGCCGCGGGGCGCTGAAGCTGTGAAAGTGAGTAACTCATTCTCCTGTTTGTCAGTTCCTGCTCTACTCTACACCAATCGCAAAGTGCTTTACAACTGACAACGTGCTTGCACATTGTATTGTGTTTAAACGTAGGCAATAATCGCGGAATGGGTTAACTTCGACCCTCTGCAAAAGTGTCGTTCCGTGGGTACCCAAACTTAACTTGCGAACCCATACCTTGGATTTACACTTTGGTCCAGGAACAGAAGATCCAGAGACCCCACCCCGGCTCGCCCACTCGCCGAAGGGTCTCTGTGAGTGCTGGCCGCGACAGCCAGAGGCTGGATTTCGCACCCGCTTGGGAAGCAAAGCCAAAACTCCCAACTCTCGGTCAGCGGAACTACACTACTCGTCGCCCAGGCAACGCCAGTCTGAAAAACCAGGGGACGCTTACGGGAGCGCGTCAACCAATACAGGGAGTCTGCGGCGCAGCTGCCAGCCAATCAAGGTCATGGGCGGGGCGCGGGCACCGCCTGTCAAACGCCCGGGGCGGGAGGGGCAGGGACTGGGCGGGAGGGGCAGGGACTGGGCGGGAGGGGCAGAACCGGGTAGAGGTGGGTGGAAACCAGCTTCTGAGTAAGTTTTTCATGTTTCTTTCAGTCCTCTCCAGGGGCAGGACGAAACATCACCACAATGGAGTTGATTCCAACTCATTGCGATTCCCATTGGGTTTTCAAGGCTGTAATTCTTAATTGTGCCGGGCAGCTGGTGAGTTGGAACCACCAACCCTTTGGTTAGCAGAGAAATAAATACCTTAACCACTACTCCATCAGAGAGCCTCTCCTGCAGGGAAACCCAATTTCCTGCAAAGCTGTCCAGAAAAACAGGAGGCATCTCTCATATTGTCCAAACAAGTATAATTGTCCCACGTTAAAATAAGTAAAAAGTGCCAGGATGCTACCAGAGCTCCATGTATTATATATAATATGCATGTACCATATGTAATATAGGGAGCTCTGGTGGTGTAATGCCTAAGGCATTTGACTGCTAACCAGAAGGCTGGCAGTTCAAATCCACCAGCCACTCCTCAGAAGGAAGGTTGGGCAATCTACTTTTGTAGTGATACCACCTCAGAAACTCAAGGAGGGGTCTCTATGAGTTGAATCTGACTTGACAGCAGTGAGTTTAGCATGGTCTTGGTCTTTGTGACTCCCACCAGATTACTGGATGGAACGATGCAAATGTAAGGTGTTTGTGCCCTACAAAGGGGATTGGATAGCTTGGTAATAATTTAAATAAGTTACATGACACCCTTCTGAGGGGAGGACTATGAAAATAATGTGGAGATTGGTCAGTTTTGTTCTCACTGTAGACTTAAAATGAGCCCTCCCAAAGACAGAAAGGGGGATATCATTTCCAACAAGACAGAAGAGCCAGAGGTGGAGTGAAGCACGTCCTTGGCAGAGAGCCTGGAAAAAACACTGGCAGAGAGACGGGACAGTGAAACCAAGAAGCATGGGACAAAGCAGCAGGCTTGCTGACCTATGAAATGAGAAATCTGAGTGCCTTTGGACAAGAAGCTTGCTGGCAGAGTGGGGTGCACCTAGGTGCACCTATCAGCAGAGCTAAAAGAGCTTTATAACACTTGCCCAAGCAGGGAAGAGGCCACACCAGAGGCTGAAGACCAGAGAGGCATGCCTGAGGGCATGGCCGAGGGGATGCTGTCCTGATCAAAGAATTGTATCCTGAGCATTCCTGAACCTGAATTGTAACCACTTCTCTAATAAACTTCATAATCATGAGTATCAGCTGTGAGTTCTGTGTGGCCATAATAAGGAATTATTGAAACATAACAGAGAAGCAGTGAGTGTTGTGGGAGGGATGGTTGGTGGCAGAGTTGGTAAAAAGTTTGGAGGGTGGTGGCATATGTGGGTCATAGGAATAGGCCTTGGGCTACTGATGGTGATTGTTTCCCCCTCATGAGGTTGGAGGAGGTCAGAGGAGGATACCCCCCCATGTTCCTTGTGCACGCCATAATAAAATACCACAAAGTAGGTGACTTTCCAGAACACAAATTTAATGTCTCACAGTTTGGGAGACTAGGAGTCCAAATCAAAATATTATATATATGTCAATTCCTTCTGACGATTCTGTTGTTAGTATTTCTTTGAACAGTGCCATGCCTCTCTTCTAGTTTCTGGTGGTTGCTGGCAATCCAGGGCATTCCCTAGCTGCTTGTAGATGTATCCTCATATTGTGTCTTTCCTCTATGTGACTTTCTATGTCTATTCTCTTTTATAAGATACCACTCAGAGGGAATTAGTAGCTATCTCACCCTGGTATGTCATCCTTAACTGATAATGTCTACAATGAAAACCCTATTTCCCCCAATAAGGCCACATTCCAACAAGGCCATATTCACAGGCAAACAGGGGTTTGGACATCAATTATTCAAACTATAGCAGGTAATCATTTGGCAGCTTGAGCTGTTATACAATTATAGCCTCAGAAATCAAGCAGAAGAAGAGTAATAGAAGAATTAATGGGGTAATGAGAAATCATTTGGGGGACCAGAATTAACCCTAGCTTTGTGATTTATCCAGTTCTTAACATGAGATTTTGATGAATTTTTAAGGGTCTCCAGCTGGCCTCATCATGTCAGCAATCCAAGACTACATGTCAAATGTGTGTTCCACTGTATATAGAAGCACTTAGGTTATCACCAAGTATAACAAGTTCTTCTTTATGTGTAAGTTATAGCATCTTCATCTGGCTAAGGGACTATACTGTCAAGGGAATGCTGTGCTTAAAAATAATCGGTCATAGTAACCAAAGCTGTGGTGATAAAAGTGGTTTTTTTTTTTTTTTTTGTTTGTTTGTTTGTTTCCTGTTTCTTAACTAGATAAATAGAAGAGTGCAGAACTTACCCAACCTGGCAACATTCCTTAACTAATTATCTTAGTCTGGGTTCTCTAGAGGAGCAAAACCAATGAAATGTATATATAAGAACATAGAGAGAGATTTACTTCAAGAAAATGGCTAAAGCAGTTGTGAGGGCTAGCAAAATTTAAATCCATGGGTCAGGCAGTGTGGGGCCTGAAAGATCTTTTAACCAGAAGCCTTTAGTATGGAGATTGACACATCCCATGCTGAGCCCTAATACCTCCAGGTAGATCTTTTAACCAGAAGCCTTTAGTATGGAGATTGACACGTCCCATGCTGAGCCCTAATGCCTGTAGTATAGAGATTAAAATGTCCCATGCCTCAGAGCCT